GTGTGTGTGTGTGTGTGTGTGTGTGTGTGTGTGTGTGTGAATGTGCATATGTGTGCCTATTTAGCATTGCTATGCTTTGAGAAACTTTAAGCTAAATTGCCACAGTGGTAGTAGTGCGAGTTCTTTGTGTCATTATATTTCGGGTGATTTTGTTTCAGTGATCTTTATTTTTCTGATTTGTGAAAAAGTTAAATTGTAGCTTGCTAGTATGAATATTTAATTACCAGTAATTAATTAATTAAGGATTTTGCTCACACATTTGCTAAATTCATTATACAATAGATGATTGTTTAACAATATATTAAAACCTTGTGGTGACGTTTTCTTGCATAAAGATAATAAACTTCTATAGTATAAATCATAATTATAGTTTATAAGTTTAAATCTACTATTTATGTGTTTATAGTGTATTAGTGAAACAATAACATTGTAACTGTTCTTTCTATTCAACTTATCCTCTATTGTTTTCAAAATAGTTAACTGATAGGTATACTTATGTAAGGCCCAAGTAGTTATGTTGAGTTCTAACTTTGGTTTTACTCAATTATTTTTGCACTATAGACTGTAGATAGAAGAAAAGAGTAGCAGTGGTTTCTGGATGATGCCAGTCTGTTTTTTGGACATAGAAATAAAAGATATTTGCTTGATTTTAGTGGTGGAACTTTGAAGGTTTTTTTAGTTGTTATATAAATATAAAGCTAACAGTTTAGACTTTTTGTTAAACGTAATGCAATTTGTAAGTTAGAGATACATCAGATATAACTCAGCATTCAATAAGCTTGTACAAAACATAATCATCATTACTAGAACAATAGTGTACTTCTCAGAATATAAAATTAAGTGAAACTTGAAGATGGTTTTGGAAAATAAGTCAATCCCTATTAAAATGTGGGGAGAAACTTACACATTAGTTGCATGATTTGTAATAAAATCTTGTATGAAATCTTAATACAATTCTCAGTGAGGTGATACATAGATCACTAGTATACTGTCTTTTGTGATGTTACTAAATCTTTAGTGTCTGATTTAGTGAATTGGACATCAGTGTTTTATCATTATTATTACTTGAATTTTTCTTGTTCTTTTGCAGGCAAGGATAGCCTTTCTTCAAGGAGAAAGAAAAGGACAGGAAAATCTAAAAAATGATCTAATTAGAAGAATAAAAATGTTAGAGTATGCACTAAAGCAAGAAAGGTATGTTTCCTTTCTAAATTCTTTTGTCTTTTTTGCATATTTTGTGATGTATATGTACGGTATAATAACTCTAGTCTATATGTAAATACATTTACTTAAGGAAGAGATAAACTATAGAAATTTCCAGTCAAATGAAATTCCACTTTGCTGTTTATCTAAGTTTCTAAAAAGAAATTGTTCAAAGAAGGTTTTTACGTATGCAATAGTAAATTGATATCAAAAGCTTTAAACATATACCAAGATATTTTAGCCATGTGATATTGTTGTGAGGTATATTTTTATTGTTGTAATTTATATGTTAGCTAGAGGATGCACAATGTTAAAATAGGCCTAGAATGCATAGAAAATCCTGAGTTGATATCAAGTTTTTCTTGTACATTCAAAGCTAGATTATAAATACAAGGTAGTTGTAGAGTGTATTGAGTGGTTTTTCAAGATAGGGTGGAATCGGTGAATGTGTTTTTGTGATGTAATTGGATCTTTGTTAGCTGTCATACGTACCGAGTCATATTATGCACCTAAGTTGACTTTAATCGTAGTATTGTAAGAGGTTTAAATGCCATTTGTAATGTAGGCCTACAACAGTTTACAACAGTGCAAGTGTTCAATCTGGTACCAAAAGAATTGAGTATTTTTGAAAGGTTGTATTAGTCTGGACTATTCTACATGAAGTTATATGCAGATATATTGACTAAAATTACAATCTTGTTGGGAAAATTATTGTGCTAAGCAGTGTACAATTGCTAGACTAGTGGCTTCCTGTGATTAGAAAAATAGCAATTGGTACATGTACCTTTGGATAAGTAATGATGGATAGGAGATGACATAAGCCTCTTAAATATAAAGTGTTTGACTGTCACTAGATGTATATTTTTGACTGAATTCCTTATGTTTGCTAATGCATCTCATGTATAATATAATTTAACCATTTTATTTCAGGGCAAAATTTCATAAGCTCAAATATGGAACAGAGCTTAGTACTGTGGACTTAAAGGGGTCGGTTTATGAAGATTTAACAAAAGGTCAGTTGGCTTTGTATGAATTGTTTTCTATTTAACAAATGGTTCATGTACGTATCTCTTTATATATGCACAGTATTCCTCCTCACTGACTTTTAAGTACCTATCATTACAGTAAGCTTAATAATGACTGCAGAAATTTGATCAAAATATTGTTCGTTAATAAAGTTATATTTGAATCAGGAACAGAAGACTTTGTGCTTAATTATATATGATAACTTGATCATTAGAAAACAGCTGATTGTGCTGCGATTAAATTTAATTTTAAGAATTAGACCAGTTATCATAATACAATAAAGCAATTAAGAATGACTGTCGTATACTGTTACTTCTAGGTTTTGGCAGATCTTAAATGTGGACATTTCTAGAGGGTATCATAAGAACTGGTTAGGATCAGATGCTACAACACATATTATATGTTTACAGCTTTTTGATAAAATACTCATTTGATATCTATGATTCAACTGAACTAGTGAACTGGTAGGATATCGATAGCTACTGGCGAAGCTGTAATAACGAAATGTTGAACTAATAAAGTTACATTCTGGAGTTACAGGTCATTGTTTTATTTATGTTTATGAGTTGAGGTATAGATTTAAGCCCATCAAAAGCTATAAATTTCATTTGAAGAAAAAATGCAAGAAAAAATTATAAATGTGGATTATTACATACAACTTTATTAAATTCCAAAGGCAAGCAGTGTTTGACTGAACTGTGAGATTGTGTTTAAATATTTTTTTTATGGCACTATACATACCTTTCATATGCATATTTTTAAATGCTATTAAACTTTATAAATTCAAAGAATTTGAATTAATTTACGAGTTATAACCTGTATAATTTATCCTACAGATATGAAGCACATTTTTATTATATACTGATTCTGCCTCGTGGGATTAGGTGGCTTACAAATAATTAGTGTTTCCCTAGTTACAAACATTTTATTTCACTTGATTTAACAATTATTTTTTCATAAAGTAAGGTTACAAGTTGTTTTTGATTGTAAAGAGAGATTTTTTTAAAATATCTTATTCTTTGTCTTATTTTTCAGATGAACCTGTTGATGGAGAAACATTTAATAGCACACTTTCATGGAAGCAAGGTAGACACCTTCTTAGGCAGTAAGTAACCTGCATTCAGGATACTTTAAGAAACAATTCTACTGAAACAACATCAGCTCCAGTGTACGTGAACAATTAATCCGTTGATGACGGACGAAGTAGTTCGAGCATTAAATTTGAAATGTTTAACTAATTATTGTCAAACGTTCCCATATTCCTTGTAAATAAGCGTTATTAAATTTTCTTCCAGACCAACATCCTCCATAAACTTTCAGTCAGTCACTCATGAGATTAGATATGAGTAAATAAATGTGCTTAAAATTTTTGGTTAAGCAAATTGAGAATTCTGGATGCAGATATTTGTGTATTCTCCAGTATCATTTTATCAGTAATTTTGATAAAGGGAAATACCGTGGTATTTAAATGTGTTAATTAGTTGTGCCCTTTTAATTATAATGCATGTATGTGTTGGCTTTGAATATGTTATGTTATAACAATGTGGGGAGCTTAACCCTACTAAGATGGGTCTACCTATGATCACGGGTCAAAGGCCATGTCATTGCATTTGTAGACTCGCATTCAAAATTTTATTGAACTACTATTTTATGAGTGTATGTCAATAAGTTTGGTATCAAATTGTAGATTATAATTCAAATTTTAGTATTATATAAAAGTTAATTTCTTAATTTAAAAGTAAATATTAAAAATACATTCCTATATATTGATTTTTGTGTGTTACGTGGTATGTTGAATGCAGCATCGGTCCAAATTGGATGCTTGTGATGTCCAAATACAAAGTCTATAGATTCTTACCAATTAGATACTCAAATTACAGCTTTGACAAGCTAGAATATAAGGTAAGAACCTCCTTTCTTGTCTAGTTTCTGAGATATTAACATATTTGTTGAATCAACCAAGGTGGCCCTGCCCACCTCTTCCATATTTGAAAATACTTGGTTATGTACACCTGCTTTGCTCAGTGACATGTAAAACTAATCAAAAGCTCAGAATGTTCCCCTAGTGGTTTTCTCACCCTCTGTGAACTATTTGTGCAGGAAACTCTTTCTTTTCATACTAGAGTCCGAGGAGTAAGGTAAGACATTAGTGAGCTCAAAATTAGACCCAAATACAGCTTAGTTACTAAGATCGATAAATAATGGTGGCATTCTGTGGTATTGATATAGTAATTTATGAATTTTTTTTGTTATTCCAAAATGCATGTATTTTGTTTTACATCCTCCATCCTCGATAAATAATGGTGGCATTCTGTGGTATTGATATAGTAATTTATGAATTTTTTTTGTTATTCCAAAATGCATGTATTTTGTTTTACATCCTCCATGTGCAAAATTTGATAAGGCTTAGCAATTTATGGCAAGCAGTAAATGAGTACAAAGTTCGTAACTAGAAAAGAGAATTGTTTTCTATAGTTCTTTATTTACTGTTCTATATTTTAAGAAAAATAACTAAAATTTAAAACTTGTTTGTAAATAGTAATAATGTATATGCATATATTATGTATTATAACCAAAATCTGATATTATTTTACAAAATACTGGTCCATTAGAACTCAGCTAGTTTTATATTCTTGGATACAGTAACGTGAGTGCACGTTTGCTGCATCATTGCAACTTCTGTAATGTTAATCAGGCACGGCTGAAAGGTCAATGAAATAAAAAATAATAAATATACATAGATGTATAATGTTATGAGATTTAATCTATTTAGACTAAAGATTTGTATTTTTCTGTTATAATCTGTAGTCATTTTAGAACAAAAAAGCATAATTTGTATCTATTTCCAAATTTTTACGGTGGTTACGAGGTCAGTCAAATCGACCAAACCCATACAGAGATATGGTAGTGAAAATTGAAAATAACAGATAAAATATAGTTTTTTCTATAAAAAAAGTTTGATAACTATCTAGAGGTTATAAAAAGTTTGCATGTGAAATTTGAAAATTTTGTGATGCATAAAAGTATTTTTAATCTTAAAATCAAGATCACTTTGCAATTTGGATAGTCAACATTCAAAAAGAAAAAATACATGAGAAAAACATTACTTAAAAAAAATTTTAAAACTTAATAAACAAAATTTGATATTTTGTGTACAAAAGCCTTGTAATGTTTACTAATAATTTGCAAAATTTCGTGAAGATATGCTTACTGTGTTAAAAGTTGTATCATGAAAACTATAACGAGAACAAAATCGTTACAAGGTCTGTCCCTGGGACTGAGCCTGTAGCGAGAGAGTTAAGCTGACACAAGGGAGTAATGTAAACTGACATATCAATTTATATTGGATTTCAATTTTGTCCTTTAGGTATCTTCAGGAAATTGGTTATACTGATACCATCATTGATGTTCGTTCATCACGGGTGAGAAATTTGTTAGGATTGGGCCCAAATAGTACAGAGTCTGAGGAAAAAAAAAACACCCCTATGGTTAATGGTGAGCAATCTTTAAAGAGGGTCACAGATACGCAAAAAAGGTATGTATAGTAGTTTCTTCATAGATAGCTTAGTAAAAATAGAAGTTTAAAACACGGAAGAAATATATATATACACACTGATGTTATTTTGATAATCCACTAAAAATCTGACTGAAGAAAAACTTTCTTTGTATTTTACTGAAACATTTATAAAATTATACCATGATGGTTTGAGAACAATAAAATGATGTTTTGTGGATAATCCCATTAAACCGAACATTGATTGCATACAAAGTACAAAGGTGTTTCTCAAAATTTTGTAAAATATATACGCACAAACAGAGCAAGAAAATAGAGTATTGTTCCACAAATGGTACACAGACAAACCTTATATAATGAGGAAAAACATACAAGTGCTTGATTGTCTTATATCGTTTGTAAATAAGTAAAGAAAAATATAGCATTGTTTGGCAGTTTCAGTGAAATATTATACTAATGTTATGATAGTAGAAAAAGCTGTATTTTATCCTCTAGTAATTAAGAAAAGAATGTCTTTATTTAAGTATGCTAGTGTAAAATTTTTCCAAAATTTTCTTGCAGAAGCCCTTGCATTAAACCAACATTATTGTGAATGGGATGTTATAAGTATATGTTAATTCTTTTGGCTATGGTTACATACCACACCGACCATCTGATAGAGATTATACTTGCTTGGCTGTGTCATTATTCCCCCATACCACACTGACCATCTGATAGAAATTATATTTGCTTGACCATTCCTTTGTGTCATTATTTTCCAAGCAAAGGAATGCACTAGTAGTTTGTGTAAGCTAAGATTAGTTGGGAGTTGATCTTCCCATGAATATGTATAATTGAAATAATTGCTGATGTAGGTAATCTAGAATTATGGGATACTGCAATAGGACCTTTTTTTGGACTAAATGATGTGGTATGGACATAATTGTGCAGTATTTTGTCTAACGAAGATATTCTGTTTCATTTTTACCACTTCCTAGATTGTTCAAACCAGTGAAACTTACAAGTATCAGTAAAATGCCAACATGTTTGTAATTTTCTGTAGAATTAAAGATCATTGCTATCCTATATTTTACACATGTGCTTGAGTCTTTTACTTTCTGGTATGTGTTCATTGTTCATTTTGCAGTTCATATCCTGAATATGCTGTTTGTTACAGCCTTTGTTACACACCTGTTGGTCATCAGTGAATCTGTATTTCTGAAAACATATCTGGCAGTAGGGTTGAATGCAGAATGTGACTTTGATTCTTATCCTTTTATGCTGTGTCATTCTGCTAATTATTTGACTCAAGGACACAACTGCATTTGTTGAGGTCATTATGTCTCCAGATGTTTGGTACCGAGCCACGTTGATGTAAGAACGTTGGTAACCATTCTTTGACATTTCTTTTAAAGAATGGTGAAGGAAGATCTTGATTGTTTTCTAAGATGTTTCAGGCATGTTGTTGGTTTGCAAAGTATGACTTAGAAACAGGCAACACAATTTTTGATGCTGTGACACCTTAGAACATTTGGATGAAGAGCAGTTTTGTGACTAGGTTTATCTTAAACAGCCTCATGCTTATAACAGATTACATCTGTTTTTATTTAGTTTTATTGTTTTATTGCTCTATGAACTACGTCTAACTACTAAATGTGCATAACAAAGTTATAAACATCCAGCGAGCAAATGGGTAAAGTTACATTAAAATAAAGTATTGAATTACATAATGCGTGAGCTTTTTGCATGCATACCTCACTGAGAATTGTTTCACTTTTTTTTATTTAACCTAATAAGTTTTTATTTTTTGTGTTTTAGTTGCTTTTATATCAATAAATAAGAAATATGCATTGAAAAACAAGAAATTAACACTTGCCTGTGGGTCTTACACTTTTTTTGCAGTCAAAGTCTTAATAAAAGTTAATTTTTTTAGTTTACTGAACTTTTATTTATTTTAAATATTCAGTTAGGAATACAGTAACACGTATAAAGAATACAATGTCCTATAACTATTATAATTTCACTGATAACTAAGCTATAAGTACATTTCCCTTGCTTGGTTGAGGTGAACCCTTGTGATAGCAACTTTGAATCTGTAGGTGAAACAATTCAAAAGCTGTTTTCTGAATGAACTAGTACTTTACATAATTCAGTAAATTAAAATATTTTAATTCTATTGGTTATAAATAATGTAATAGCAAACATCAGAAAGAATTATTGAAATTTTTTTTTGAAAGATAGTATGTGATAGGAGTGCATGGCGGGTAGGTTTGACTTTCTGGTAACTCATTTAAAACTTAGAAGCTCAATTTGGAGCAAGCGTAACATGATATAGAGAAACAAAGATTGAGAACTTATTTAAATGTATCATTTTGAACTTAAGAAATTGAAACGTTAAAATTTGTTTATTAATTACATTTTAATGCCAGGTTTTATTAACATACATTGATAATAAAGGAGTTTTAGGTTTTTAACGTAACTCTGTAAAAAGGTCATGACAGTTGCACTTTTACATACCTGTATCCAGAGGGTTAAGTAATTGGAAAGTATTTCAAAACTTTGTCGTTAGGCTGCTTCATTATCCTTGACCACACCTAACTCACCATTCTCAAACATTCAATTTATTTGCACAATGTATTATTGTAATTTAGATTACCTCTTGTTAAAGCTTAGCACCTTCCTTGTCTAGTGACTATTGGCTTAGGTTATATCTTTTTTCAAAGCTGAGAACCAATCGGGGTTCACGAGGCCACTTCCAATCAGTGTACTACATGTTGATTAAACTTAAAAAGTTCACATTTGGTCAAACACAAATTGTAGAATTTATAGAAAAAGATCATAGAGCAGCATATTATTGTAATATAAGTTACATGCAATGCAACAAAATGAATGAATGTATAGCTCGATGATGTGTCACAAGTAAGTGAAACATAGAAGATGGTTTCTGTTCATTGTTTATATAATTACCTTTTTATAGTATCTAAAGGTTTATTCTCAGTTTGCCCCTGAAGAAGAAAGGTCCACCTTTCGAAAGCACTTGGGTTATAGGGTTTTTATTCATTTCTATCAAGACTCCTTGAACCTACATGGTTTTTTATCATCATAAAAGTTTATTGAACATCAGTATGTGTATACTTTTCCTACTTTGAAGCAAGACTGATTAATAAACTACTGTAGAAAACGTTTCTTTCTATTCTAGTGTTTTTTTTTTGTCCACTAATTTGTATTTGTTACTGTAATTGTTATGCAGGAACATTTATTGTTCTCCTTCAGAATAGTCTAAAATTGTTGGTAATGTTTTTAATCACATTTGTGTAAATATTTAAACAAAAGTATAAAATATACTCCAGTAAAGTTCTTACAGACAGAGGTATTGAAAGGTACATTTATATTTACAAACTAAAATATTTTTAAAATATTGCTTGGTCTAAATATTGTTTGTAGAGGAGTCTGTATTGTTTATATTAGGTTGTCAAGAAATTAATGTCCCTTTTTTTTTAGATGAAAAAAACCTGAACAACTTGTATATTAAAACAAAACATTTATTAAATGAAATAGTCTCCATTCTTATCGATGATGCTTTTCCATCTTACATTCAGGTTGTTAATGCCCTGATTAAAGAAGCTTTGAGGAAAAAACATGTTGATGTCCTCTTTAACACTTTTCACTTTTGCATACGTTTTTCCCATTAAGATGGTGTTGCAATGAATGAAATAGATGGTAATCTCATGGTGCCATATCTGGAGAGCTTCCCAACCCAACTCCATAATCTTCTGTTGCATCAAATGTGCCACATGTGGACGTGCATTGTCCTGGAGAAGAAGAACATATTTCTGATTGATGAGTGAAGGGCATTTCTGATGAAGGGCTTGATTTAAACGTTCCAGTTGCTGACTGTAGATCTTTTCATTGACAGTTCGCTGTGGATTGAGGAGTTCAAAATGAATTACTCCTTTGATGTCCCACTAAATGCAAAGCATCACTTTCTG